CAAGCCCATATCTTTCAGCAGGACCCATTTTACAGACCAAGAGTCTTGAGTCTCAGAGAAATTTATGTGCCTGGTGATACTCAGTAAGTAGCAAGCTTCAGCCTTTAATCAAGCCTCTAGTCCCAACTTCAGAGCTCCCCGTGCTTCAACCACGGGTCTCCCCTATGCATTTAAGGTCACCAGGTGGCTCTATTTATCTCTGTGGGCAAAAAGCAAGGCAGGGAACCTGCACTCCAAGGATGAATCCCCGGGAAGGGCAGGCCGGCTCAAGCCGTCTCCACGACCAGGGAACTGCAAGGCACATCCCAACTCCAGTTTGAGACCATGGAAGCCCTCGAGCCCAGGAAGAACAGGGGGAGCGATTAAGATTTGGAATTGTTAGGGGAAGTCAAAACATGACCTGAAATTCGAGGGGAATACCATGTTTACTAGGAGCTCCCAGCTCAAATTCATTCTCTCAGCCACCCCAACTTTGACAGATTTCTTCATCCACCAGTTCAGACAGAAGTACCAGAGTAGATCCTTACTGGCTCTGGTGGGTCATGTACCCCTCCCTGATCCAATTACTGTAGCTGGGGAATTTCAGAAAGTGATTGACCAGGCCTGGGCCACCAAAATCAAGGCAAGGAGGTCTGCTCCCTGGAATTATGGGTAATGTGGTAGGAAAAAGCCTATTAAAAGAAGAAAGGGAGAAAAGTGGGGAGTTAGATAGGAAAGAGGACTTTATATGACAGATAGGGATTTCTACTTAAAAATTAGCAGTGGGGTCAGGCGTGGTGGTGCACAGCCCTAATACCAGCAGCTCAGGAGGCTGAGGCAAGAGGATTGCAAGTTCAAAGGCAGCCTCAGCAAAAGTGAGGTGCTAAGCAACCCAGCGAGACCCTCTTTCTAAATAAAATGCAAAAAGGGCTAAGGATGTGGCTCAGTGGGAGAGTACCCCTGAGTTCAATCCCCAGTATCCCAAAAAACAAAAAACAAAAATTATCAGTGGGGGTCAATAAATGCTTTTACACAAGGGAGATATTCGATGGGGTGCAGGAAGGCGGATAAGGCAGCAGTGCAAGTATTGCTGCTCTGATTTGTAATCAGTAGATTTCAACTGAACACACGTAGTATCTACTAATTAAAATTACTTATCAATGAGGCATCATGGTTGTGGGGGCCTGATTCTGTCATTTACCCATGACTTTGAGGAAGTTACTTCACTTCTTCTTGCCTCAGTCTTCTGCAAAATGGGTCTAACAACAATAGCTGCTCCTAGGTCTGTTGTGCAGATGGAATGAATTGATTCTCAGAAGTTCCCTTCAAGCAGGGCTTGTCAGCATGTACCTTCAGTTTCCAGGAGCTGGGAGACCTCAGGTTCCGGGAGAGCCTCTGGCTCTGATGGCAGAGACCTCACCTGGCTGGCCTGGCAGCAGAAGCCAGCCCTGCCTAAGCTGTGACCCACTTGCCCGTAGCCCTCTGAGCCTCCCTTGGCTGACAAACAGGAAGGTGGCAGGGCTGCCTGCATGCCGCTGTCGCCCCCGCAGCCCCGTGTCTGGCCCCAGCCCTCCTCGCTGCTCGAGGCTGCGGTGAACTTGGACGGTGCGGCTCTCACCACAAACCACAGTCCGTCACAAATTGCCCTGTGGTGAGTAGCGAGCACATTTATAATTGATGAAATCAGGGGGTGGAAATTCACTGCCAAATGTTTAGTAAACAGAGCCCTGGGTCCCCAGGGGCATGGCGGGGGTGCTTGGGAGAAAATAAGGGGTCAGGAATGGGGGGGTCAGTTTCCTCACGAGTACACGAAAAGCCTCACCACCAGTGTTTGTTTTTATTATTAAACTTATTTTGAAGGGTTTGAATCCTACAGCAAAGTTGCAAGAACATGAAAAACATCCATATTCCTATTTCCTCCATTATTCCTGACATTTATCACATTACTTTGTTCTTTTTGGGGGGAGCAGGGTACTGGGGATTGAACTCAGGGGCACTCAACCACTGATCCACGTCCCCAGCCCTATTTTGTATTTTATTTAGAGACAGGGTCTCACTGAGTTGCTTAGCGCCTCGCTGTGGCTGAGGCTGGCTTTGAACTTGTGATCCTCCTGCCTCAGCCTCCCCAGATGCTGGGATTATAGGTGTGCACCACCGTGCCCAGCACATTACCTTATTCTTTTGCTCTGTGTAACTAACATAATAATAATCACACCATTATTGTTAGTCTTTTATTTTGCTGAACCATGTGTAAGTCGTAAGTCCCAGCAATCTTGACCTTTCCACCCACTAAATATTTCAAGGACATTCTCTTACCTACAGAAGAATGATCAGCATCAGGAAGTTTAATAACAGCACAACATATGATCTAATATGCCGTCTATTTTCAGGCCTCATCGATTGTCCAATATCATCCTTCATAGCAACTTTTTCTTCCAATCGAACCTGACCAATCCTACCATTGGGTCTCTGGTGATTGTTACGCTTGGTCCCCGCCCCCCCCCCCACACACACCCCTGGCCAGGATCCCACAGTCAGGTAGAAGTGATGAAACAGGGGTCAAGTCAGAAAATAAAGCCAGCCTGGAATGACCAGGGGCCAGACGCAGGAGCTGGCTAAGCCCTGAGAGCCCTAGAAGCTACTTCCAGAGGGTCCCCAGGGATGGGAGAGAGACATGGAGATTTCTGTGGACACTGTGATCCCCAGGGAGCCAGGAAGTTCTCAGAGTTCTAGTCACAGCAGCTCATCTCTGGGCATGGACAGGAGGGGGCAGGAGAGCTTTGTTAGGGAGGCGGGGAGGAGGCCCCCAACCTTTCAGGACTAGGAGCTGGGAACAGAAGGACAGCCTTATCATTGTGTCATGCTATTTGGGTAGTTTGAATATCCATTATTAAGTATTTATTGAATAGTTAATATATACCAAGAACTCTTTAGGTGCTGGGGAGAAACCAGGATAGAGACCTGCCCCAGCCCTGTGGTATATATGTCCTTTGGGGACATGTGACAGTTACATTGCTGTAATCAAAATAGTCACATATCCCTGTCCCCTCCACAGCAGGTGTGAGGGAGTAAAATTCCTTCCCCCACAGCTGTCAGACTTGGCTACAGATTCACTGGCCCCTAATGACTGTGATGATCACCCTTAAATGTACTTACGCTTGGCTTTGAAGCCCCTGCTATTCTCCTTGAGAAGCACATGACCCAGGGAGTAGCTGTTCCAAAGAAAATGCAGAGATACACGGATCATCCTGGAACCCCAGCTGCAGCCTGGAGCTGCCTGCTCCAGCTGACGCACAGACTCATGGATAAGAACAATACTTGGGTTGAAATGTGACTCAGAGATAGAACGTTTCCCTAATATGCACAGTGCCCTGGGTTCCATCCTAGCACTGAAGAGAGAAAGAGAGAAACCAACACTTGTTCGGAGCTTCTGAGTATTGGGGTGTTTGTTACACAGCATTATTTCAGCAATTGCTGACTAAGATGGGGAGAGAGAATATAAACCAACCAACCAATAAAGGTATGTTGTCAGGTGGTGATAAGAATCAGAAGAAAGCAGAAGGGGAGAGGATGGGTGGTGTTTTATAGATAGGGTGGTGGGGCAGGCTCCGTGATAAGGAGCAGAGAGGAAGTTGGGGTGAGTCATTGGTTATCTAGGGTGGCCATTTCAGACAGAGGAAACAGTGGTGTGAGCGTCCCAAGGCCACCAGCACTTAGCAGAGAAGGCTGGAGCAGGAGCCAGCAGGGGGCAGGAAGGGGTGATAGGAGGTGGCTCAGAGCTGGGGCTGGGACCAGATCCTGTGGGAAGGATTGGAACTTTACTCACTTCCTCTGGTGTAACTTGCTCCTGGCTGTCTGAACAAAACCCTGGTAGAGGCTGCTGGCTGGGCTCCCTGGTTGAGGACCTGTACTGAATCCCAGGAGCCCTTCCTCAGCCCTCATTCCCCCACTTTCCCTGGAGGCTCCCCTCCCTCTTTTTTTTAAAAAATTATTTAGTTGTAGATGGGCACCATCATTTTATTCTGGACACCATAATTTTATTTTATTAATTGATTTTTATGTGGTGCTGAGGATTAAACCCAGGGCCTCACTTGGGCTAGGCAAGCGCTCTAATGCTGAGCCACAACCCCAGCCCAAATTTAGAATGGGATTTTTTGGGGGGAGAGGATGGTGCTGGGGATTAAACCCAGGGCCTTGTGCATGCGAGGCAAGCACTCTTCCAACTGAGCTCTGTCCCCAGTCCCTCTCTCCCTCTCTTGACTCTCCTCCCACCTCTCGGACACCCCCAGATTCTCCTCTGCTCCCCCTCCTGCCCCTTGGGCCTTCCACAGTGCTCAGCACTCTGCTCACCTCTCAAAGTGGTGGTGACTCCCAGCTCTCCATGCCATCCTAGAGAGGACATTCCATCCCCAGCTCCCTCCTTAGACCCCTCCCCTGGGCCTATCCTCAGGGGAGGGGCTCTCAGGGACCCTAGGGAACTTCACAGACTCCCCCCAGAGCCCATTCAGGTTCCCAGGGCTGGGCCACTGGCTCCATTTCACCTAAAATCCTGATATCATAATGTCCTTCCTCAGCCCTGCTCTTGGATGGCTGCTCATCCTCTGGGAGGGAGGAGCCCTCCTCAGCCAGCATGGAGGGCTTCTGCAACCCCGGGCTCAGCTGCCTTGTGCCTACTCCCTGGGTAGACCCTCTTTTCCACCAAGCTGGACCATCCAGGCCCAGTCCTGTGCCCACACTTTGCTTCTAGGTTTTTGCTCAAGCAGTGCCTTTTGATCACTAGCTAAGTACTGAGGACCTACTGTGTGCAAAGCACTGTCCATGGTGCTGGGGTACAAGGGATGTCCAGGAGACTCACACTCTATAAAGTCCACTGGGGTCTCTCTGCTTCTGCCCCTCTCCTCCCTTAGGTCTGGGCCTCTCAAGTCTCAGCGACTAATGTCTCCCCTGCTTCGTTGATTGACACTGGAACATATCTGCATGTCTTGCTTGTGTCTGAATTTTTTTTTTTTTTTCAGGTACTGGAGATTGGACCTATGGCCTGAAACATGCTCGGCAAGCCCTCTAGGTCCCCAGCCCTTGTTATGCCCTATTACACAGGCTGTCACTAAGTTTCTCAGGCTGGTCTCAAACTTTTGATCCTCCTGCCTTGATCTCCCAAGTGGCTGGCTGAGTGTTCTTTTAGGTGAAGATTTCCTTTTTTAATTGTGAAAATAATACACACCCTTGGAATATACCGAAAAGAAAGAAGCAAAAGGTGTTATATAACCTAAGGACACTGAGGAGCTTCCTTATTAATAAGCAGCCTCAGCCAGTCCCCGTGCCTACGTTTCCTCACAGAAGAGGCGCCTTGATTCCGCACGGGGAGACACCAGAATTGAATGGAGTTCTTCTCTGGAAGCAGGTAGAGTTTTCCAGGGGTGGGGAATAGCGAGGAGAGAATTGAAGAGACTTGAGATCTGAACTGGAAAATGGGAACAGGGGACACACAGCAGGAAGCCAAAAGTCCCTAAAGTCCAACAGACCAGATTAAAGTGGCAAATGGGCCTTTTCCCCTGCTCACTACGTCTGTGGGAACTTGAGCAAGCCCCTGGGCCTTTCTGAGAGGCTAGATTTTGTCGAGTGAACAGGTATCACCATACATCCCCCCCTCAAGGAGCCATGGGGGCCCCAAATGCCATAAAAGTCCTTTGTAAAGTGGCATCTGGGGCAAAGGTATGGGATTGCTGCTGTCCAGGCACAAGCCCCTCGTCTGAGTCCTGCATCCCCGTCTGGGTACAGAGTGTCTTGAAGATAAGTCCGTACTTATTCACAATTATCTCAGGGTGCTCCCAGTGCACAACACTGAGCACTTATTATGCACCCACTGTATGTCAGACACTCTGCTTGGGCCTCACACAAGAAACTTTGAGCTCATGTCTGTCCATCCTTTACAGAGATGGGAGAAATCAAGACTCACAAAGATGACCTGACATTCCCAAGTAGTGACAGACCCTGGATGCAGACCCTGAGGAATGAATGAAGTGAAATGGGGCAGTGGTCAGCATGACCCAGAGCTGATCTATGGTGAGTGTTGACCCTGACCCAGCTCAGTGGCCCTGGCAGCACCATTGCCTCTCTTAGGGTCTCAGAAATCTCTTAGCAGCCCCCTAATACAGGGGGTGTGAAGGGCAGACCCCAGGGCCCCGGTGGGACATGTGGACAGGCCTTACCATGGGCTGTCCAGCTTGGCCACCTTGCTCCAGAAGCTCCAGCCTCTCCCCAGGGTGCAGGATGGGGGCCTTCTGGCCTAGTTTCTTACCAGCCTGCTCCAGGATGGCAGCATCCCAGCTCCGCTATAAATAGCATCTCTCCTGGGCTCCAGACGGCCTGTTGGCAAACACTGTAATTTGCTGAAAAGTTTGGAATGTGTCTAAAAATGAAGAAGGCAAGTGAGACCAACCTTGAGGGGGAGCGACTGGCGTATCCATTTCAGAGGAGGGCTGAGCCTCTCCGCTGAGCCTCGCCAGTGTCTTCACAAGGACGCTGCAGGCGAGGCATGGGGAGGGGGGCAAACAGGAGTTAGGAAGTAAATATTATCATTTCCACCCACAGTGGCCACCTCCTGCATGGCCTCGCCTCTGACCCTCCTGTCCTAAGGAGGAGGGGGCTGCCACTGCTCAGCCCTTCCAAATAGTTAAGTTGAAGAGGACATGGTGGGGACATGGATAGTGAAAGCCAAGGAAACCCCTGAAAAAATTTCATCCAGCCTCCCCTTATTTACAAATGAGGGGGTGATTCAACAAAGCAAGCTGAAGCAGAACCAAGTTTCGGCAGAGGCCGCCCCAGTCCCAGTTTGGTGCCAAGTGTTGGACCCCTGGCCTCCTTCGAGGCTTTGACTCCCTGTGGAGAAAGGGAAGGGTCCTGTGGCTCTCTGGTCATGCCGAAGGTTGACACTGGACTAATTCTGTGCTTTTCTGATGTTCTGGGCTGATGTCACTTCACTCCAGGAAGGCATAGCCACTGTGATTCATCTTGACGAGTAACTGAGGGTCAGGGTTTGAGACTTGTTTTCACCTCTAAAGCCAGAGAAAGGCTGTGCCTAGAACCCCGATCCCACAACAGCGTCAGGGCTTTCCTACCTTCAGGTAGAACTCACAGCCTCAAAGGTCATTGTTTCCTGTTGTCTGTCAGATCTGGGCTTTGGATCATCCGCTTTAGGGAAAACCAGAGCATGGGAAACTGCCATAGACTGAGGCCCAGAACCTCAAGGTGGGGCTCCAGATCCAGCACCATCTCCCCATGTGACTTAGGGCAAGCTGCTGAACTTGGGCTTAATCGTATGTAAAACTGAAATAACGACAAACGCTTCTGTTTGCGAGCATCATGGCCACGTGCTAGACACGCATTTGTCCTCCCTCCTTGTAACAACTGTACGAGCAAGACCATTCTTGTCCCATCTTACATATGAAGAAATTGAGGCACAGAGGTTAGGAAACTTGTCCAAGATCACACCATTTTTTTAAAAAGTTTGAACCCACTGTGCCAGATGCTCCGAAATTCCTTTCAAATGCAATAATTCTGCCTTTTTTGGGTTCCAAACAGGATAGTAACTAGTAATAGTTCAATGGTAGCTCTTGGCTCTTGATTGCAGAAAGATTTTGTTTAGGGGCAGGAGCAGATTGGGAACTGGGAAAATTTACATCTGGAGAGAGCCAGGACCCCACCATCCTGGTCCACTAGTGAAGGTCAACTCTCTCTGCAGAAGGCACCTGGCTCCTTGCAGGGTCACCTGATGAGAACTGTGGTTGAACAGCGACTTCTCGTGGTCATTTGTAGAACTGCACCCCATCGGAGTTCAGGCCCTAATTTCCAGGGAGGATCAAGAAGACAATGAAAGGGAGAAGAGAATTAAGGTGTTATAGACTTGGATGCTCACCTAACTTACGTGTGAAGTTTTAAAACCACACAGATGCCAGGGACTTACCCTGGACCTAGAGGGGCAGAATGTCAATGGCAGGAGAACTGTGTTTCTTAGGTACAAATGATTCTGGTACAGCATGGCTGAGAACCCCCAAATTTAGAAGACTTTTAAGGGGCACTGGAGTATTGGTGAGAAGAACTGGATTGCAGCATCACTGACTGTCGAAGCTTCTAGAACTTTCTAGGCAGTTGACAAAACTAGACCCTGTCAGCATCAACTGCACTGTGCTTTATTAAGAAATAAAACAGCAGCAGCTAAAAGAACAGAAACAAAAAAACTGTTACTATGGAAATGGAATCCATTATTTTGAGAAATGTTAGTGTAGTTCAGTCCATGAGTAGAAGGTACAGAAGTGTCACTCTTTCTTCTTTGTCTTCTTCCTTTCTTTCTTTTTCTTTCCTCTTTCTTTTTTCTTTAATGCAGTGGTTCTCAACTGGGGGCAGTTCCTCCCCGGGGGGCCTTTGGTAATGTCTGAAAACAACTTATAGTTGTCGAAACTGGACGGTATTACTGGCATCTAGTGAGCAGATGCCAGGGAGGCTGCTGCGAAACATTCTTCAATGCAGAGTACGACCCCCCACAACGAGGAATTATCTGATCCAAAATGTCAATAATGCTGAGGTTCAGAGACCCTCTTTTAATAAACACAAAGGACTCCCATTTTCAGGTCCCCAAGGGAATGGACTGATTTCTTCATCCTCTCTACTGGGACCCAGAGAAGGACAGGTTCTTAGTACACATTGAATGACAGAATACAGCGACAGGGAAAATATCTGATGGCGACATCTGAGAACCTTCTTCACCATGCACAGTCCTGGATACATTTGAAATGGCACTGACTGCTCAATGCAGAAAAATCTTGTTTGCCAGATGGACAGTGCGCAACACCATCCCACACCTCTGACAAGATAGGAGAGAATGCAGTGGTAAAGAGGTTCAGATCCTGATAGAAAGGGGTTAAATATCAGCTTCCCGGAGCTGAGTTATCTTGGGCAAGTCACACAACTTCTCTGGGCCTTAGTTTCTTCCTGTGCAAAGTGAGACTAGTATACCTCCTCACAGGTTGTTGTGAAGGTTAAAGAGCATTGTGTGTGTAGCTTAGCCTAGAGCCTGGCCCTGTCAGTTCTCATTAAATGTTAGCAATCCAGATCTGTGAGTCTTTTTTGTTGGGGGGCGGGTACCAGGGATTGAACTCAGGGGCACTCCACCACTGAGCCACATCCCCAGCCCTTTTTGGTATTTTGTTTAGAGACAGGGTCTCACTGAGTTGCTTAGTGCCTTGCTTTTGCTGAGGCTGGCTTTGAACTTGTGATCTTCCTGCCTCAGCCTCCCGAGCTGCTGGGATTACAGGTGTGCACTACTGCGCCTACCTGGGATCTAGGATTCTTAACCTTGATTGTCAACTTGATTGGATTGAGACACACCTAGGAGATTAGTAAAGCACACTTTTGGGTGTATCCAGAGACTTTTGACATGTGGGACAGCAAACTTAGAGGGGAGACTCAACCTGAATGTGAGCAGCACTACCCAATAGGCTGGGGGCCCAGAAGGAACAAAAAGAGGAAGACTCCTGCTAGTGGTGTAAGCTTGAGTCCCCTTACGCAGGTGTGACTTTTGCTGCTGCCACTGTCTGTGAACATCAGACTCCGGCTTCTTTGGCCTTTCAATGTGGACTCACACAGCAATTCTTTGGGAGCTTCCAGGCCTTCAGCCTCAGACTGGGGCTGCATTATTGGGCTTTTTTTTTTTTTTTTTTTGTACCAGGGATTGGACCCAGGGCACCTAACTACTGAGTCACATCCCCAGCCCTTTTATTTATTTATTTATTTGTTTGTTTTTGTGACAGTGTCTCACTAAGTTGCTCAGGACCTCACTAAGGTGCTGAGGTTGACGTTGAACATGTGGTCCTCCTGCCTCAGCCTCCTGAACCACTGGGATTATAGGTGTGCATCACCACGCCTGGCTTTTCCTTCTTATTCTGAGGTTTCCAGCTTCTTGGATTGAGCAGTTACTGGTTCCCTTGGCTGTCCTGTCATGCAGACGGACACGGTAAGACTATCCAGCTTCTGATTACATAAGCCAATGTGTGTGTGTGTGTGTGTGTGTGTGTGTGTGTCCTCTAGAGAACCCTAATATAAATTTTTGTACCAGGAGTGGGGTCTGGAAATTCCTGAGAATCCCTCAAGGCATCTTTTCTATTGTCCTGGTGCAAAGTTCTTGGCTTCTTTTTAAAGGTGCTAATTTCCTCAGCAACCACAACTTCCTTAGCCCCAATTTTACATGCACTTTTCTGGCCAAACACAAGTTTTTCCAATCTTTCTGCTCATCATTTCCAATCTTTCCACTCTTGCTTCTGGTTCTCACTGTAAAACTGGCTGAGAATATCCAGTAATACCCACCCTACCACCTGAATGCTATATAGCCTTAAAATTTCCTGTGCTGGATTAATTAAGCCATCACATTTAAATTCAGCATCATGTAAAATCTCAGGATACTGACAAAAGGTAAATAAGTTCTTTGCCAGAATGTAACATAGATGGCCTCTAGTCCAGTTCCCAATAGGGTCCTCATTCCCATTTGGAAACTCATGAGCACAGCCTTTACTGTCTGTATTCCTATCAGCATTCTGGCCTTCTGAGCTCTTACCAGAATTGCCCATGAATCTCCACTTACAATAGTCTAAGGTTTCTCTAGTCTGCATCTTCAGACTTCCCCAAACCCTCCCACAAATTTATTCCAAAGGCTGCTAACCACCTGGCCAGATATAGTCACAGTGATGCCCCCCAATCTTTGTATCAATGTTCTGTGTTAGTCAGTTTTTCATTTCTGTGACATAATTAATACACAAGGGGAAAAAAAGAGAAAAGATTTATTTTGGCCCATGGTTTCAAATGTCTCAGTCCATAGTCATTTTTCCCCATCACCTTTCAATAATGCCATCAAATTATGAATCTATTAATAGATTAATCTACTGGTGAGGTTAAAATCCTCATGGTCCAGTCATTTCCCAAAAGCCAGATCTCTGAACATTGCTGCATTGATAGCCAAACCATCAACACACGAGCCTTCAGAGGACATCCAGATCCAAACCAATAGTGTCATTCTTTCTGATGTCTAGACTTGCTTAGGTTTGGCCACTGCCTGAGACAAGCTATTACTTCCATTGGATCTGAACATGAAGCTTCTCTAATGAATCCAACAAGTAGAGATAAAAGGCTCTAGACCCACTGACACAGATGCTCTGAGGGAGGGGTCTGGGAATCAATATTTGTAATAAACTGTAAGTGATTCTTACAATTGGGCAAATTTGAGAAATGTGGCTTTAATAGAAAGACTTTGGAGTTAAGTTGCCTGGGTTCAAATCCAGGCTCTGCTATTTACTGACTGGGTGACCTTAGGCAAATTACCTCTCTGTGCCTCTGTTTCTCCACCTGTTAAGAACCTCCTGGCATCTAGTAGGATTCAATAAGTGACAACCCCTCCCTTTCTCTAGGTCTGACCATTTGTGACTTTCACCTTCATCCTCCACACAAGGCATCTCCTGGTTCTGGCATTTCTGTCTGATTCACCTTTAGTCCTCACAGGTCCTCTACTGGCCTCCTAAGGGAGGCCTCCCTCACTCTTGTCCCCACCCTGTCAGAAAGTCCTTCAAAGAGTAGCAATGATAGAACCCACACTGAGGTTTATAGTTTTCAAAGCACTTTGCTTGTTCTTTGCCTTATTGATTTTTCCCAATTATCCTGCAGCATTGTCATGATCTCCCTGAAACAAATAAGCATGAACCTGGGGCTCAAGGAACCATGACTGTCCCAAGTCTCAAAGCAAGTAAGCTGTATCCCCAGCCCCGTGACCAGTTGTATCTCTGGGCACCTGCCACAGTCCCTAGCCGGATTCTCACCTTGCCCTTCCCTTGCTTAGGAAGCTATTGTGGCTCCCATTACCCAAGTCCAAGTGCCAAGGCCTGGTGTCAAAGCCCACCACAGCTTGGAACCGCTCTCCCTCCTGGCACTTCCTGCATGTCCCTGCCTTTCCAGGCCACCTAGCTGGACTCCCCTCCGGCTGTCTCCTCCTCCCTGCTGGGATCCATTCTGCTTTCCTCCACAGAAGAGAGGACACTGGGAGGAACACAGGCATCCTCTGCCCGGACTCACCTTCCTGACACCCCCTAAACCCTGTACCTGGCCTCACTCCTCAGCTTCTACCTTCTTCTTCTTTCAGGAAGCCTCTCTGCCCTCATTTGAGGACCTGTTGCTCAGCCAGGAAATTACAGCCTCCGGTTGCCCCCTTTCTGGTCCCCACTCCTCATGGTTACACTAGCTTCTGAATGGTGTGCTGTCATCCCTCCATGCCAGAGCCCACTGTGAATCCGTGCTCAGAAAAGGGGCAGCTGACAGACCCCCTCCCTCCTGCCACCCTAAGTACTGGGAGCAGATGCAAAAGTCACCACTGGCTACTGCGACTTCCAGGGACATTTCTCACTACAAAGTGACATAAGGGTCTGCTTCTGGGCTCTTCCCCATGGCTAGTGGTCTCCCTGGGAAAACCATCAATGCCCCTGGCAGCCCACACTTTGGCCCCTTTGGTTCCTCAGTGTTAGGCACCCAGGCGTGGGTGGGGCCGCTGGCTTGCTCTATGGTGCTCTAAAGCTGAGCGTCATAGACTCGATGTCACTTGGGTCTGTCTCCATCTGTCATGTGTGAACTCTGTCTGTAAGCAGTGGCCTCAGTGGCTGTGACATGGAAGTGAAATAATCAGAGCCAGTTTGGGGTCAGGAGGGACAACTAAGAGTGGAGGGCTGGGGTCAGGGAGGGGGTTCTCTCACAGTATGGGACAAATAGTTTTATCCACATGTCACAGGTGAGAAAATGGAGGCCCCAAGAGACCATGCTGGAATTAATAAGAGGTTATCTCTGCATTTACTGTCTGAACTTGGCCTTGAAGCCAATGGTTCTTAGCCCTGGTGGCACAGTAGAATTATGGAGGACCCCCAAGTCCCAGGCTGCATTCAGATCAATTGAATTGGACCCTCTGAGGGTGAGACCCTGGCAACAGTTGTTTTAGGGTTTCCTGGTGGTCCTGGTGCGACCAAGGGGGACAACAGGGACTAATAGCTGGGACACACTTCACAATCTGACCCGTTGTGCCACTATGCAGCTCCTTATTCATGCTGAGCCTCCATCCTTGTCTATAAAATGGGAACAGCAGCTGGGTACGGTGGTGCACCCCCGTAATCCCAGCAATTCAGGAGGCTGAGGCAGGAGGGCCGTGAGTTCAAAGCCAGCCTCAGCAAAAAGCAAGGAGCTAAGCAACTCAGTGAGACCCTGTCTCCAAATAAAATACAAAAAGGGCTGGGGATGTGGCTCAGTGGTCGAGTGCCCCTGCTGAGTTCAATTCTTGGTACAAAAAAAAAAAATATGTTGAATGAATGAATGAGTCACTGTCCCTGGTGCAATGGTCAGCCATTAATAAAATGTTGCAGGTATTGCCCGTGTTGCTGTGGTTGTGGTCTGGAACCTTCTTGCCTGAACTGCTTGCCTCTCAAGCTACTTGCAAGCCTAGCCAGGTCCTCCCAAAGCCAAACCAACCGTTCCTTTCCATGAGAAACACCCTGCGTCCCTGTTTCTCAGGCCACTTGGTTCCACCAGCTCCCCCTGAACACACAGTGCCCAAGTCCCAGCAGGAAAAGGTGGCAAAGTTTCAAGATTTCATTTGGAATTCTTTTCAGATGAAATGTCAGAAATATTAGAGAGGCAGAGTAATAAATCTGATCCTAATATAGCATAGAGCTTATTAATGAAGAATAAATCACCCAGGGAAACCTCCCCGGAGTGCTTCGCCCGGGCCTGTGGGGGAGATGGCATATTTATGTGCAACTAGATCAGGTCTTTTACTTTCTCAGATATATAGCCAAGGCAGATTTGTCAGGGCAGTAGCCTTAACATCAACCAATTATATTTTTTCTAGTATAAATTAATCTGTTCTATAGAAATTTCTTAAGCATTTATTAGATTAGGATCACATCCAAAATGTAGAAGATTAACACACACACACACACACACACACACACAGGGTGCACACTACTGTGGGACTTGAGGAGGCCCCCAAATGGATAATAACCCGCCTGTCCCCACCCCAAGATACTCTCCCACTGAGAGAAACCAAGGCTCAGAGGAGGAACACGCCTCACTGGAGGTCACACATTTCCAAGGCTGATGTAAAATAAAAACCCCAAGTCCTTATTCCATCTCTAAAAGTTGCCCACATCCCAGCTGGGTGCAGTGGTGCATACCTTAATCCTAGCGGCTCAAGAGGCTAAGGCAGGAGGATCGCAAGTTCAAAGCCAGCCTCAGCAATAGCGAGACACTGAGCAACTCAGTGAGATCCTGTCTCTAAATAAAATACAAAAACAAGGCTGGGGATGTGGCTCAGTGGGTGAATGACCCTGAGTTCAATTCCCCAGTACCAAAGAAAAGGATGCCCACATCCTAATTCCCCAATCAACCTTTTAACCTTATATGACTAAAGGGACTTTCCAGATATGATTAAATTAAGAATATTAAGGTGTGGAGATTATTCTGGGCTCTCTGGATGGGTCCAAAATAATCCAAAGGATCCATAAGGACAGAGGGAGGCAAGAGAGTTGAAGAAGGGGGTATGATGGTGGGACGTGAGACTGTGAGCCAAGGAACGAGGCAGCCTTTAGAATCTGAAAAAGGCAGGGAAACAGATTCTCCCCTATAGCTTCTAGAAGGAACACAGCCTGCTGACATCTTCCTTTCAAAACTTCTTACCTCCAGAATCCTAAGATATTAAATATGTTGTTTTAAGCCGATTTGTAGTCATTTGTTACAGCAGCCGTAGGAAACTAATACAGTGTTGGAGAGAAAAGCTTTGTCATAGGAGTCTACACCTGGTGGTATACAGTGCTAGAGAGGGATCTCAACCCTGAGGGTCACCTCAGATCACCCCTGGCATCAGGTGGCTCCTCCTGTCCAGAGGTTTCAAGACCCTGCCTGCCTTTACCTGGTTGGCGACTTTATTAC